CGTTTAAACATTTATTTGTCTAAGACTGAAAAAGAGTTATATAGGCCCCTATTAATCAAGTTAATTGCAATCCACATGTTACGCCTAATATCGTTTAATTTTGGCTAGCCTATGGAAATTTATAGCCTTTCATGTTATCATAAGCCATATACATAAGAAAATAGGCTAAGACTATTGGTTGAATATTAGAAAAACAGGTGAAGTCTTGGCAGGAATGTTCACTTCACCTCATATTGGCTTTCATTACTGAGGGATATTTACGGCTATACAACATTAATAAGTTCTATCTGCAAGTTTACTCAGTCATAAAACATATTTTTACCCAAGTGTGAACAATACAAACCTTCTGTTTTGGTAAAAAATACTTTATAATTTGTAAGAAGACAAAAGATGCGTCTCTTCCAAACTGAGACAAATACAAACACTCAAGCCGCTTATTATGGCAACAAAAAAGTTACGAAAAAGAAAAAGTGAAATATTATATTTCAGTATGTTGGTGTACAAAATATTTTCTTCATTATTCTATGATAAACCAAGTCAACATTACAACATATATTATTATTATTTTTTATACAATAGGGAATTAGTCACTACTACATCCGGGTTGAGAGTGTTACACAACCTCAGGAGCTGGTGTAAGTTACGCACTTTAACTTGCGGAGTTCGATGTCAAATATTTGTTTTGAGTATACCATCTGTGTTTTGAGTATAATCTGGACTTCGAGGAGTCAGTTGCAGAGTGATAAACAAAGACAAGAGGCAAATGGCGTAAAGAAACTTGCCCATAGTTTCACCCTGCCCGGGGATCGAACCCGGGTCCACTCTCTTGCGAGGAGAACACGCTGACCATTACACCACAGGTCGCCAACATGAACCAATCTCGTATCTTTAACACACAGGAATCTGTGAGAACTCTGACCGGATTAACACGTAACTTAATCTGTAAATATTTATACACCTCGAAATCCGATTTACACAACGGTTATCTATAGAGAAATCCCCCCCTCCCCTTGACCCCACTTTCCACCCCTCCCCTGCCCCCCCCTCCCCCTGCCCCTTCACCCCCTCACCTCCACTCCCCCTTCACCTCCTTCTTCTTTTCTTCGTTTTTCTATATTTATGTTGTTTTCTATTTTAATATTGTTCTATTATTATCCTTCTCTCTCTCTCTCTCTCTCTCTCTCTCTTTTGTGTTACTCGTTATCTTTATCTTTTCTCTTCTCTTTCTTTCTTCTTTCATTCACTATATTCACTGTTTTTCATTATCTCTCTTTATCTTGTTTTCTTATTTTCTTTTAATTTCTTTGTGTTTTCTTGGGGAATATCTGAGGAGAGAGAGAGAAGAGAGAGAGAGAGAGAGAGAGAGAGAGAGAGAGAGATCAACTACAAATACATTTATTTTATTATTATTTACCTTACAACCTTCACTAACGTTATTTTGGGGGAATTATTCGTTATATCTCCTGATCTAGAGAATTATTTACCGTATATATACTTTTAAGAATTTATATCGTAGGTTTAAATATAATTACAGAATTAAAATGCCATTAATTTCTGTTTTTGTGAATGGCATTATTGAAACTTCTCCCTCATTGTGTCGTCATAAGTTCTAGCTAGCTTTTCTGATTGGTTATTCCACCCTCATTGTGTCGTCATAAGTTCTAGCTTCTCTGATTGGTTATTTCACCCTCATTGTGACATCCATTATTTCTATTCTCTAATAATTGGTTATTGGACCCTCATTGTGTTGTCATAAGTTCTGGCTAAGCTTCTCTAATTGGTTATTGGGCCCTCATTGTGTTGTCATAAGTTCTAGCTAGCTTCTCTGATTGGTTATTCCACCCTCATTGTGTCGTAATAAGTTACAGCTAGCTTCTCTGATTGGTTACTGTGCCCTCATTGTGACATCATTATTTCTAGCTTCTCTAATTGGTTATTGGACCCTCATTGTGTTGTCATAAGTTCTAGCTAGCTTCTCTGAATGGTTATTCCGCCTTCATTGTGACGTCATAAGTTCTAGCTTCTCTAATTGGTTGATGTGTTTGAATTAGCTTCTCTGATTGGTTGTTGTGTCTGAATCAGTTTTATCACGCAGAATAAACTGATGATGGTGAAGAAGAGTGAAGAATAGATCCAATAGACTATTTCTCTATTGTTTCCTACCATCATTATTCTCCCTTGTCTCGTTATCACACCTCTACTGCCTCCTATTTATCATTGTGTCCTGTTTATCCGTCTTTCCCTTCAACTTTCTCTGAACAGCACTCCATCTTCATCGAGTCAGTCATTCAGGTAACTACAACACCAGGTACTAAAAGGGACGCGCCTCTATTCACTCTTGATATAAGGTTCATTTGACCTTTGGTTCTTGAGTATTGCTTACGTCACTACTGCATACCTGAGTCTTGGTCCGAGAAAATTTTACCCTATTTTGATCTTTAATTCATCTTGATATAGAGGTTATTTAGGATTACTTCTCTTACCTCGGTTAAGGCCATTTTAAACCTACACTCAAAAGATCGAAATAACGCTAAATTCGCCTTTAATTTCCCTCTGACATAGAGGTCATTGTCCTTTATCTAAGACCATTTTGTACTCGATATCGTAGAAGGATGGAACTATCACTAAACTCACCCTTAATTCATCTTGACATAGAGGCTATTTAAGGAGGTTTCAGGTCACTCTAAGGTGCCTAGTTCTTCACATTTTTCTCCTCTTAAGTGTCTCTGTTGACAGTAATGGCGGTAATAGGTTTAAAGATCACTGTGCATCCTTGAATGACAGTGTAGCTAGACTGGCGTAGTTTAGTTTAACAAATTTATTGGCAGAGCTTGTAGTACAGTTTGCCTATTCTGAGTAATTCAGTCAGGTCTTGACACTGAGGGTGGTATCACTGTTCACTGCCATGCAGGACAGAGGTTCGTACACAAAGAGTTGCATCATATTCATTGACAGTACATATACATATATGTAAACACACACACACACACACACACATATACATACATATCCGTATATACATACACATATACATGTACACGTACATATACATGCACACACGCACACATACATACATATACGTCGGTCAGATTCATGTGGGTAATGTCACTTTTCGCTGCCATACAGGACAGAGGTTCGTACACAAAGAATGCATCATATTCATTGACACTATATATAGGTCAGATTCATGTGGGTAATGCCACTGTTCACTGCCACGCAGGACAGAGGTTCGTACACAAAGAAGGAAATACATCACATTCACCAGCAGCATATATGGGTCAGTGGATCACATACATTGGAGTCATATTCTAATTGAAGACTAATCAGTGTGGGCTAGCAAATTTGGGATAAACAGCAAGAATGTCCTCAAGCACACCTGATTCAATGAAGTAATTACATAGTTCAAGATACAGTAAGTCAGGTGGCCTGAAGTCTTTGACAGTGTCACATTCAATAATGTAGTGTTCAAGTAGACTGGCGTAGTCACATGTGACTCCCAAGACTGGACACGGAAAGCAGATTGCCAAAACTATTCACGAGTTTCTGGTGGAGAAAAATCTAACCCAGCAGCCCATTGTGTGTGTTGGTTGTGATGGAACCAATGTAAATGTAGGATCAGAAAATGGAGTCATTCATCATCTTGAAATGTTACTTGGTCACCCGCTCCATTATTTCATATGTCAGCTTCACGGAAATGAGCTGCCTTTCCGCGCAGTTTTTTATCACTATGATGGTAAACCAAGTGGTCCTGAGCATTGGCGTGGTCCCATTGGAAAGCAGATCAAGGAGTCTTTGTCTGAGCTTCCAGTTGTCGCCTTCCAGCCAGTCAGTTTCCCTGATTTCCCTGTGTTTAATGATGAAGTGGAGAAAGATCTGTCCTGGGATCAGAAATACCTGTATAGGATTTGTAAAGGAGTTATCACAGGTGTTGTTGAAGATGACTTGGCTGCTATTGAGCCAGGTCCTCCCTGTGTGTCAAGGTGGAACACCTTATGGAGTAGAATCCTCAGGCTGTATGTAGCAACATCAAGACCCAGCCATGAGTTGAAAAGAATTGTCATTACAATAATAAAGTTCAGTGCTCCAATGTGGTTTTACATCAAGATACACCCTTACGTAACACACGGCTCAAGGAACGTATTCCAGTCCCTGCTATATATGAAACACCTGAATAGTGAGGAGGAGACGATAGTGAAGAAGGCTGTCCAGAGAAATGCATACTTCGCCCACACAGATCAACTTCTTCTTGGTATGTGTGCAGATGAGGACATGACTGTTAGAGAAAAAGCTGTCTCAATGATAAGAAAAATTAGAGAGGAGAATCAGCAAAAGGAAGAATGCACTGGCAGATCTGAAGAGGAGGAGGAAGATTCTGATGCTGCTGTTGACGAGAATTTGTTAAACTATACTGATGAGGAGGGTAAAGATGGAGATGGGAATGAGGATGTGCCTCCTGTAGTCAACATGAGAAAGGTGGTGACTCCGAAACTAAAGTGGCAAGCAAAAACTATCATTCCATGATTAACTGGAGGAATGAACTCAAGACTGAGCCTCCTTACATGCTTCTCTGTCAAATCTACAGGTTAATGACATTCTTGAGACACCATTAGTGGTGCCCAAGTGGCCAAACAGCACTCAGGCGGTCGAGAGAGGCATAAAAGTGATGACTGAAGCTTGCACTGAAGTGACGGGATATGAATCGAGAGATGGATATATTAGGCAAAGATTATTGTCTAGGAAAATGATGCCAAGGTTCCGCACAAAAAATAATTTCAATATGAACTTGTAATGATTTTCTATACGGTGTACCTGTAAAATAACATGTGAATTAAATCGATGTCACCCATGTAAAATTTATCATTATCCTGGAAAACATTAAATGACACCTAATTTTTGGTATACACTAAAAGTTGACAAAAAGTCGTTCGCGATGCGGTAGGGTAAGTATGCATGAAATGGCATGAAATTTTGCACAGGTGTTTGTTACAGCCATACAAACGATGCCTGAAAAGTGCAGCCTGCAACTCAAATAAAAGTGTGTTTTCCCTGCCCCCTAATGTACAGTATAACATTACTAAAGCTGGTGATGAGCTTCCTGAGCTTTACCTGTCCCGTAGTGTGAGGATCTCTGAGCGCTTCTTAAGGAGGAGCTGCTTGAAGGTGAACACGAGCTCCAGGTAGGAGGTGGGTGTCACATAGTACCTCCGCCGCAGCTGCTCATAGAACCTGTAGGAGCACTCATCAAGGTCTCATGTATATCTGGTTAATTAAGGTATTGGAGGGCTACCAACGTCTCATGTACAGTATGTCTTATGGTTTTAATGAGGTCTTGGAAGCCCACCAGGTTCTCATGGGTTAATTAATGTCTTGAACCCCTGGGCTTCAAGTCAAGTCATATGGTGTGCATCTATAGAGCTTCAGGTCACCTCATATGAAATTTTGACATTTAGTGGGCCTATTTGAATATAAAATGCACTAAACTAACTCAGAATAATGGGATAAACTCTCCTGTCTCATGTGGTGACATGCGAACTTCACATGCTACCACCCACAATGCCTTAGTACCAATCGCGTCTCAAGATGCAGAGGTCACGTCGATCACACTTGCCCAAGCCCAGCACCTCCATTCCCAGCTCCCAAGCATGCCAAATAAGTGGTCCTATGCCTGTGCAGTACTATTATTTTCTACATGATCATCATTGGCCAGTCAGAAGTTAAAACACAAACAATCAAACATGGATGTTTTATTGAAGAGAGTTTTCTGACTGTGGTAAACTGTATTTACATAATTAAAAACAAATTTCTAGTATAAAAAGACAGACATCAGTCTATAGATTGCTCAGGTTTGCCTACTTGAGAAACAACTGGATAAATGCTAAAATGAAATCCACACGAAGCAGTCTTTGACCCTTGGTAGTTAAACTGAAAATGATAACATAAGCAAGGTTTGGATGTCCTTGAAACTACCTGTGGGCAAGGTCATCAATGCTGTGGTGGAAATACTTGCAGACAGTGACACAGTGAGCCAACAATGATGCCTCCAGTTTAGTTTCCTGCAGCAGTGATGTGGCCACCATCTCCAAGGCATCATCAGGCCATGCAGTAAACCTGAACAAGAAAAGGTCATAATCTTGTGACTCTACAGAATTATACTGGCATTTGCCATTTAACAGAACTGCATTCTACAGAGTTTTGAAGTTATGGAACTCAAAAACAGAGGATATTAGTCACTAACGATCTACTGTCTTCCTAATAGAAAACGAGCTGTGGTTGCCATGTAACGACCACGGTCGTACACGTCAGTTAACGCCAAAATCAAATGATTCATATTACGCTCAATAGCCCACAAAACATGTACCTCTGCTTTTAGTTTGAGTCCTCCATCTGAGGAGTCCGTTTTCTCATCACTTCAAGACGCCTCAGTCCCCTGTTATCCCATTTTCTCTGACTTACTGAAACCAACCTCTCTATATAATGAATTTGAATGTGAGAGAGAACACCCTGGTTTAGAGTCAGCTTAGATATGTCTGTTTACAGTTGAAACATTCAAGATCCATTGTGAGTGGTGTTGAACGCTTCAACTGTCCTTATTGTTGGTAAGACGTGTCAAGTAAGTGAGTGTTGAGTCTGCCAGGACAAACGATACCCATCGGTTTCGTTTCCTAAGATATCCAGGAGTTTCTGATCGCGCCTGAAGTTAGATCATTTTGTCGCCCCGACATCAGAGAATCTGATGTTTATAGTTTAATTAGTGTCAGTTATCTATTTAAGAAAGTCATTAATTTCCTGAACTATTCTGTCAACTGGTATAATCTCCAAGATCTAACGTCTCCCTGTGAATAGTTCCTTGTTCGCGGCAGGCCTGAGCTTGCAGAATTGTTGTTATCAACGTGTATATTCCACCTTTTCCTGGCAAGCTCAACCTCTGATTAGATTATATGAATAGACATAGGAAATTACCCTGATCCGGAACACCGGAGTTCATAATTAAATATACGGTGATCCAACATGGTAGAGAAGGTATGTTGTTGGTAAGATTGACCTTTCTGGCATGAATATGGAGGCCCAAGCTGCCCAGCGGGGGCACGTATATACCTCTACACGAGGGAGAATCACGCATTCGTGACTCTTCTTCCACGTCTACAGGTATGTTCACGTGTGTTCCACGCCGCCATATTAACTCAGTTTAACTTAGTCATTTTTGCGAATATCAGTGTTCATGTTTCAACATAGTACCTTCAGTGCCAATTAAGTCAAGTAAAGTAGAGCTCTAGCTATCGTCTGAACCGGTGCCAGACGTATGTTTGGTATAGTGAAGTTAAATATTCACGCTTTCGTGACTCTTCTTCCACGTCTACAGACGCGGATGTGTTAGCCACTCTCCTGAGGGTCGATAACTACCTATGGGCACCATGGTTCTTGAAGACTGTCTCTAAGGGCGCATTTAGAATCCCAGGACACGATTCCCCCGGGAAGCGCCCTCACCACTCTGCCAGTGTGTAACGAGTCAACCTCCCTGAGTGCACCTAGCGAGCGAGCCTTCAGCTTGGCGGTCGCTGTAAACAACTGTGCCCGCTGACTCCACCTGGAGATGGTACTTCATCTATTGCATGGAGCAGTGTCGGCCCATGTTTGGAGGGATGTCCAGGTGGTTCCTTGTGAAGTGATAAGAATTATGGTATGTTACTAATTGTGGAATTGCCCAGTGTGTTATGTATTCATCTGTAGTACCCATGAAATAATAACCTGAGAGTATGAGGTTCTAACCACGAATTGAGAAGGTAATTTGTTCCTTGTTAAAGTAAGACCTGCGGGTCCAGGGTTATTGACAGTGTGTAAGCATTTCTAAATCTTACTTGTCACAGAAATACTACAACAGTATCCAATAAAGTAATGAATATTTGGAGGTGTTTAATGAGGTAATAAGTTCTTGAAGTGTTTGATGACTTAATAAGTTAATTTCGGTTCTGTTTAGCCTGAGTGAATCTAAGATGCATCTTCTCCACTCACTGTATTAATAAATATTGAGTTAGTAATCTGAGTATCACCACTCTACTCCTTCTAAACATTGGTTCCCAGAAAATAACACTTACTCACGTGCCTATACATCTACCACACTACCCAAAACCCTTCCATGAGTTCTGTTATATAATGAAAAGTCTGGGTGGTGGCAGCTACCCCTTGTAAGTATAAAAAGTGTTATACAAAGAATAACATGGTTCCCCAGACTAACCCATGTACAGTATAAGAAAGACATAAAACAAAGTATACTTCAGAAAGGTAAGAACATTGAAACTGAGAATACAATCTATATGAAAGGAAATGAAAAGAAAGAACCTTGACTTGGAAAACATAAGTAGAGAAGCATAAGAGTTACTTATATAAGAATATATGAGAATATAAGGTATATAGAGGTAAAGAACATATAAGAATATAAGTAAGAACATATAAGAATAAATATATATGTACAGAATGGAAGGAAGTATATTGCCATTTAACAGAAGGCATTCTACAGAATTTTAAGTATATGAACTCAATAAAAGAGATATTAGTCACTAATGGATACTGTTTCCTAAAGAAAACGGCTGTTACAGCCATACTGACCAGAACGTATAAAAAATTGTCCCAAACACAATATCTGAGAGAGAAACAAAATAAAAGTCACTCGATTTCCTCACCGTGCTAAGATGTATAAATACCCTATATAAAATCCTCGTGGCACTTAGTATTTCAGCTATTACAACAAAAATTTTAGCGGTGCTTTCATTGTGCGTATTTACACCCGATTCGCCAGGCAAGACGACGACGGTAGCAATGCGTGTGATGGAGGGTGTGGGAGGGGGTTTTGAGAATTGCAATTAAATGCCAGGTAGCGACGTGTCCTCGAAACACATCGACCCCATGGTTAACAATACCTTTTTTTTGGAGGACTGTACATTTCATTCTGCAACCTGGCATTTGTTTGTGTTTTTTGTGTATGTTTTTTGTATATGTGTTTCCATTGTTTTCCTAAGCTTGGCCAGAGGACATTAAGTGCTAGAGGCAGCAGTGGCATTAAGAGAAACAGGAAGGCAATTAATCTGATGTGAAATTACATGACAAGCATTATGTTTCTTGCTGGTAACTGTACTACAGTATTATTTCTATTTATGATTTTATTTGAGAAGCAGGTATTTATTATACTATTTTAGTGCATTATTTTACTTGATACATATAGATACATATAGTACTGTATTATATTTTGGGGGGTAAAAATTTTCCCTTTAAGAAGGCAAAATTTTCTTTGGAAACACATTGCCAATTATTATTACAGTATTGTTATTAATGAAATTATTATCATTATTATTATTAGCATTATTATGACAGTATTACTGTACATTATCATTATAATTCTTACTAATCTTATTGTTACTGTATTACTATTATTATAAAGCCCTGCATAAAAAGGATTAGCACTATAGATAATATCAATGAGCTCTCACATAGCACTGAAAGTAAAAACCTGTAAATTTTTTTTTATTAACTTTCTAAAATCCTATAAGAAGAAACCATTATTGTACCACAACAATATTATACACTACACTACCACAACATTACACACTACGCTACCAGGGACACCTGACAATACACAAGTGAGGGACACCTGGCAACACGACATCTTCTAACACATGAAGCAGTAGACCCACCAGAACCTACCAGTCTATAGTGCAGCAGTTAATGAGGGAGGGGAACATCCTGAGCCTGGTCCTGAAGGTGTCGCCTATGGGGGACATGGCCACTACCAAGTGCAGGTTGGCCCTCACTCGCTCGTTGAAGTAGCCAAACAGTGTCATAGGTGAGGAGTCCATCTTCTTACCCTTATTGGGATATTAATCTGAGGTTACAATATGTATTATATTGGTTGAGGAGTGTGGTCCACATTATAAATATAAGATGACCCAATGAAACAATTATCAGATGAAAGTAGGATACTCTTTCTTGTTGGGATATAAAAATTTTGTATCAATTGAAGATAACTGAAGATTAGTCTTCCCAGCATATTTTACTACAGTAGGTTAGGTTAAGTTAGTGTTAGTGTTTAAACATCAGATGAAATAAGCTGAGATGCTTAATCTTCCTGTGGTCCCAAAATTTTCAATGTTTAGCTGGACCTAACTCTAATAAACAAGATGAATATAGTGAAAATACTGTACAGTACCGTACATCTATAAACTTTATCTGAATTTCTAAGTTATGTACGTAGCGCTCAAGAACAGTAAAGTGATTTATCTACATGAATGAGTAAATAGTGAATAACACTTATTCAAAAAGTATACATATCCTAAATATACTACAACACAGCAACATGTACAGTAAGTATATGGTCAACAAGTGCATTACAGGAAACAAGTTGTAGTGGACGTCTCCCCTACAAACTGCGCATCGCATTCCAATGTGCCGCCTTCCCTAGCAACCAACCAGATGTTACCGTATCTTAGCAAGAAACTATTCACCGGCGACTTCTCGGGTTTTCCCACCATGACTCATAGCGGCTGCTGCGGGGTATATAAGCTCTGTCTCTCCATTGAGATTCATTCCTCCACCTCCTGCCTCAACATACACATTTCTACATAAAACATTACTAGAGGAATAAAGATGAGAGTGACCAACCAGCTCCACTAAGAACCTGGCAGGCCTCTCCATACAGTGTACCTTTAGACTAACACAACTAACACTTAACTAACACCTCAAAAAAAAAAAAATGTGACTACCCTCCCAGTTACACAAGGACCTGGGCGGGCTCACTAACTCCAACAATAACAAATAATAATAGTAAGCAGCATTATATAAATAAACCAATATTAATACAAAGGTCTGACGACCCAAGGGAGCAGAACAAAGACAAAACACCAATAAGAAAGATGAAGCGATCTGGTTGAGCCCAGATTCTTTCTACTCCTACTGTATTTCAGTTTCACCACTTTTCCTTCAACTCCTAATAATCTTCTTTCACCTCTTAACTAAAGACTTCGTATCGTATCGAGATTCATTCTGACCATTCTTCTTGAACAAGCAACACCTCCTCCTCCGCCGCTGCCTGGCTGCCCCTCGCATCTCCTCGCCTGCCTGGCGGTCCTCGCTCCCGCCGGCTAGCATGGCGACCCACCAGCTGTCCTTCCCTGAGCTTCCTCACCAACCAACTCTCATTCTGCCCATTTTCCTGAACAAGCAACATCTCCTCCAGCAAGCTCCACGCTGTTAACATTTCATTCAACCAGGAGGCCAGCAACAGGCAACATCTTCACTAACGAAGCTCCTGCACATCTACCTCCTTCAACAAGCTACTCACCGCACGTCTCTACCAAGCAGCCCCTCACCACACAGCATCTCCAGCACCAGACTGTCTATCATATAACTTATATATTATATAAGAAAACCACATTAGAGTTTCCTTCCATCCTGAGTGCTAGACAACATTAATATCTCGATACCCCTACAAAGTAATAACACAACTAAATTACTATTATGAGCAGCCCACCATGGTATCAATTCCAGTTCTGTATTCCCAAAGCTTATATGGGAACATCCACCTCTACGTATATTTGTGATCTTACTTCACGAGTTTAGTGATAAGGCTCTAGCACTCAAGTTGACGCGCACATGTTCCCTGACTCCATTAGTGAAGGAGCCATAATAACAGAATCTTGATCTTTCAAACCCAGCCAGGGCAAGGATTCTCAAAGCTTTAGGCTTTGTACATTAAATTGTTTCTCATAAATGGAGATAAAGCAAGGTTTCAAATAAGCAGACATAAGAAAGAGCATACAAATAATGTTCAAAATGGGTTCCAAATTATACTGAGCGTCTACCTACACTGGTACAGTACTTTATTTTATCACCAATTAGAGATCAAAGTTAACATGAATTCTGACCCAGTATTGTCAACATATTGTAGTAAATGTTAACATGAATTCTGACCCAGTATTGTCAACATATTGTAGTAAATGTTAACATGAATTCTGACCCAGTATTGTCAACATATTGTAGTAAATGTTAACATGAATTCTGACCCAGTATTGTCAACATATTGTAGTAAATGTTAACATGAATTCTGACCCAGTATTGTCAACATATTGTAGTAAATGTTAACATGAATTCTGACCCAGTATTGTCAACATATTGTAGTAAATGTTAACATGAATTCTGACCCAGTATTGTCAACATATTGTAGTAAATGTTAACATGAATTCTGACCCAGTATTGTCAACATATTGTAGTAAATGTTAACATGAATTCTGACCCAGTATTGTCAACATATTGTAGTAAATGTTAACATGAATTCTGACCCAGTATTGTCAACATATTGTAGTAAATGTTAACATGATTGTTCTATAAACTATAAACAGTGGATGGTATGATCGAAGACTGAAAATAAGTTGTTTACAGAAAAAATAAACTTTGAAGCTTCAGTGAGTAATGAGGTGCTGTTGTCTAGATGAGCATGTGTGGCAAGGGAGGCCCCCAGCCCTCGTGGGGGGACTGGCTGCTCTCTGCCATGATAACCTACAACTATGCATAAGCCATTATTGAACAAGTTCTTAAACATTAAGACATTGAACAATCTACAACTATGATCAAATAATCAGGAAAATTATTCATCCTCGCCTTAACCTTCAAGTAAGAGGTTGGTTATGTTGTGGCAACTTCCTATTAATGGGTCACATTTCATAGTTTCACCATTGATACAAGTTAACAACAAATTAAGGCTTTTGTGCTTCTTTCCATGACTTATACTCACTATTGTTCTTGATACTTGAACGTGAGACTACAGCATATCAAGTGTAAAAATATTGAGCGACCATTAACGAATAAGTCCGAACTAAACTACTGGGTCAACAGTCTGATGGTCCAGGGTGGCGCCTAGTACACAGCGACACTGCTGTAAAGCTGAAAAGTGTAAGTAATGTGGGCAGATAATAAACCTTCATATGTGCCTAAGATAACACCAAAAAATTTTGAAATTGAACAATATGGTGCTGACAGGGTGATAAATTCCATGACTCTTGTCTTGGGCATGAGTATGGACATGTATCACCTGTGTGGTGTGTGAGGAGCGTTCACTTTGCTGTCTGATGCAGCTGAGGTGACCCTCATGAGCACTGCTGATGCAAGTCTGCCATTACTTGCACCGACATTTACTGTGGTGGTGCAGCACTGTTGTGTACCTTTATCCCACTACTATGGCATTTTAGTAATTTTGGTAAGAAAGGTGTATTGCTGCCATACTGCAACACACAAATGTCTTCATCTGGATAAGTTGGCTATTAATTGTTTGTTGGAATCATTTCATCAGTTTTAGCCCGTAAGAGGGATGTTACTGAGACAATGGCAAGACCTATGGCAGATCAACACCAGGTCACCACAACATGTTCGCAACACTTCTCACAGTAAGGCACACCCAGGACTTTACTACTCCCTGTATTGAAGGGTTTATTGCCAACTCTTTTGTGTTGGTCAACAACAGTAATGGTTTGGCTTTCTCCAGACAATTTACAACATGCATGAAATTCACATTCTTACCACGTCAAGCCCCTGGAAAACAACATGGACTTGTTTGTCGTGTTTCCTGAAAGTCATTATCAAGGGTTCCAAATTATTTTGAGTAAGTAAAGAAGACATTTATAGTGAGTTTATGCATCTAAAAATCAATTTCATGCTAATTCTGAATCCCTTAACTTAAACGTGTAAAAATTTTTAGGTGGACCGGGGAAATACATATCTCCTCACCACCTACGTATTTAAAGTAAATTCAGTTAGCATGTCACTAATTTTAAGACCAATTGTAACGTCATGAACACCTTCCTTATTCACACTTCAACACAAAAGGTTCTAAAATCAGTATTGTGTCAGTCTGAACCCCTGATATGACTCCTGAAGGTGCTGTGAATTGGCCATGACTAACACAGGACCAAAACACTATAGTTCTCTTTTGTCCTCACTACCAGGTCTTAGGTCATATATCTCAGGTGTCAGGCAGGCTTTATTACATACCATCTCACAAAATGATTTCTTTGCTACAACCACTACAGTGTATTTATTTGATAATCAGTTTTTGTAAAAAAGAAGAAGAAAGAATGCACATTACTCCTGAAATAATATCATACAAAAATCAAGTTGACTATAAAAGTACCTACACAAACTAAGAATATTTACTTCCATAGTATTACTATAAAAAATAAAGTCTATTAATTCCAAATGATTCCATGCAAAAATTGTCTCCACTATTTCCAAAGTTTAAGTTAACAATTGGATAGCCAAAAATTTATTATCAGCTATTTAGGTCTACTGGACACTGTACATCCTACCTCTGGGTGGAGGAAGGGTGCTGGGGAAGGGCTAAGTTGGAGCAAAAAGTTCTCTCAGTCAGTCAGTCGATGTCACTCAGGAAAAGGGTTCATTGATTTGCTAAATACAGTTATGCACAGATTTAACAGATCACCTGAAGATTGCCTCCTCCAACTTGTTCTACTTGAAGATTAACCATTCTAATACAATACACGACAAACCAAACACTAACCAAACCTAACCGACCACCCTAATGCAAACCTAACCTAACCTAACCCTCCCCCCCCCCTTCTGATGGGGTTATTACTGATAATCTTTAGGTGAAATAAGCCTGGGGCAGGTGAATTTTCAGGAGATCCAATTTATCCTAATATTTGTTGGCAAAGTAAGTAAGTACAGGACAGGCATCCCCTGCCTTATAGAAACTCACGTTATGGAAATTCGCGCTTACGGAATTTGGTAATTACTGTATGACCAAAAATTCGGGATATGGCTAAAAAACTTCACCCTTACGGAATTTGGGTAAAAAAAAAAAAAGCAAGCCAAGTTCAGCAGTAAAAATATTTGACATTATTAGAGCTCAAGTCGTAAGAAAGATAAGGGATGACTAAAATTTATATATATTATGAATGGAATGGTCAGGTATAGTATTACTAAAGTACAGGTAAATTAAAGTTACTTATTATTAAGGGTTTAATATCATGCGAGATTGGTTTTTATTAAAGGATGAAGATCTTGTAATACTTTGATGAGTAAATGTTTTACATGAAAAGAATACAGTAATTGTATATTAACAAATTATGCATAAATATACTAAAAATTAGAAATATATAGTACATTATAAAGTAAATATTATAACTAAGTGAACCAAAAAACCATCACCTCATAACTGTTTAATGATTATTTTATCAACAAAATCCTAATTAAGCAGTTGCAGTTTGCTCTCGGCTAATGGTAACAACAACCCTTGTAAGAGATAGTCAATGTAAGGCATAAATTATTTTTTCTTCTTATTTCTCATATTATTATTAACCAACTGTTACTGTAAAACATAAAAAAATGTACAGTATATGAATGATCTTAAGCATTACTACGGTACACTAAGTTAAATATCAAATGTTCAAAATTATAAAGATCTGCAGTACTCACCTCATCTTTGGCAACTGCTTGTATCTTTTCTAATATTTCTGCCTTTTCCTCATTGGTGTATAAATTAGTGTTTGAAGGCAAAAACAACACTTTCACAAAGCCAAATTGATACTCCAAATTTCTGGCAAGGTCAGGGTCATGACCAGGAGCATTATCCATGAGGAGAAGAGCCTTTAAAGGGAGTTTATTGGTGGTTAGGTAGCTCTTGACAGAGGGGCATAACACATCAACAGCCCATTCATTAAAGAACTGTCTTGTCACCCATACCTTACGGTTGGACTTCCAATAAACTCCAAGCATTGTTCTTACCACTTTCTGTTGCTTGAACACCCTGGGGTTTTCAGAGTGGTAGACAAGCATAGGCTTCAGTCGGAAATCCCCTGAAGCATTGGCACCAAGCAGTAGAGTGAGACGGTCTTTCATGGGTTTATGCCCAGGTAAAGAGGCTTCATCTTTGGTGATGAATGTTCTTTGGGCATCTTTTTCCAGAACAGCCCAGTTTCGTCCACATTGAACACTTTTTTTTTTTTTACTTTTATCCTCTTCGCCACTGATCGGCTTGTTAGCCGCTTGGGCGATCGGTCACGACTCTTTTCCTTTATATTCTTCACCAAAAGGTCGGCTCGCTAGCCGCCCGGGCGATCGGTCACGTCTCTGTCACGCACTGTTGGCAAATACTGGGCATGCACCGGCTCCTGAATGTACCTGAACCCGCTCCAGTGTTGGTCAAGTCTTCTCTTGAAAGAGCTCACACTCGGTGCCGTCACAACACTCTCTGGTAGATTGTTCCAAGAGTTTACAACCCTCACTCCGAAAAAGTTTGCCCTCACGGTTTTCCGGACTTGCGGCTTCTTCAATCTTGAGCTGTGACCCCTTGTGGGGCGAGCGTCCGCCAGCTCCAAGTAAGGACACTCAACTGAGTAGTGCCCCCTGAGATGCTTATAAACCTCAACTAGGTCCCCCCTTGCCCGTCTGTAGTATAAGCTAGGCAAGTTCAGGCGCTCCAATCTCGCAGGGTAGCTGAGATGCCGAAGTGCAGGCACCAGCTTGGTGGCCCTCCTTTGAACATTTTCAACCAACTGACAGTCCCTAGCATATCTCGGGGACCAGATGGGGTGACAGTACTCCAGATGGGGAAGCACTTCACTCCTGAAGATCGTCACGAGGGACGGACCGTCTAGATATCTGAACGACCTTCTTATAAGACCCAATAATTTATTTGCCTGATTTACCTTCTTCTCACAATGGCCTGAGAACTTCAGCTCATTGTCAACATACACACCTAGGTCCTTCTCACACACAGTCTCAACTAGTACATTTTCTTCATCCCGTTGGGACATATGGTACGCCTCCTTACCGTTGGTACGCCCCAGGTGCATCCTCTTACACTTCGTGACATTGAATCTCAGCAGCCATTCCTTCGACCATTCCTGGAGCCCACAGAGGTCCTTCTGCAGCTCTTCACAGTCCGCTTGGTTCTTAATTTCCCGAAATAACTTGGCGTCATCGGCAAACATTTGTATGGAGGAGTGTACAACGTCAGGCATATCATTTATGAAACAAACAAACAACAGCGGGCCCAATACACTACCCTGCGGTACCCCACTTGTTACAGGTACAGATGACGATTTCGTGCCATTAATCACCACACATTGCTTGCGGTCATGTAGAAAGTCTTCTATCCACGCTAGGACATTTCCCCGAATTCCGTACCCTTCCAGTTTGATTTTCAGCCTTTCGTGGGGTACACTGTCGAAAGCCTTGGCAAAATCTAGGTAAATATTGTCGATATTACCACCCCGTTCTAGAATATGGGTCCAAATATCCAATACCTTGAGCAATTGTGTCAAGCAAGAGCGCCCCGGCATAAAACCGTGTTGGCAATCTTTTACAAGGTTGTTTCGTAGTAGATGTTCCATCGCTGCATCTCTGATAATACTCTCAAGTACTTTACATATTATGCTGGTCAGGCTCACCGGTCTATAGTTGTTCGTGGAGTGCCTATCGCCCTTCTTGAAGATAGGACTCACATAAGCCACTTTCCATTCACTGGGGACCATTTGTTCATCCAGGCATTTACAAAACAGAATCTTCAGGGGCTCTGCAAGCTCGTTGCACAGCTCCCTTAGCACTCTAGGATGCACCATGTCAGGTCCAGGACTCTTATGGACCTTTAGCCTGGACAGTTTATTTCTAATACCCTCTTCTGTGAACACAATGTGGGTCAGTGCTGTGTCGAACCGTCTGTCCTCAAACGCAGGAAGGTTAGTTGCATCCTCTCTTGTGAACACTGAGGAAAAGAAGCTGTTCAATGCCTCAGCTTTATCCTGGTCAGAATCTGCGTAACTACCATCTTCAAGCCTCAGGTCTGATACTCCTACTCGCGTTTTCAATTTCGACTTTGCATAGCGGTAAAACGCCTTTGGGTTTGACTTGACCTCGCGTGCAACCAGCCTTTGGAACTCCTTTTCAGCCCTCCTACACTCTATCTTTGCTTGGTTTCTGGCTCTTGCATACATCCTCCTGTCTTGCTCATCGTTTGACCCAACCCACGTCTTGAATTTCTGGGTTTTCTTCTTAATTTTGTCGACCGCCGCATGGTTCATGTGTAGGGATCCCCTCGTATTCCTAGAAGCACTGGGTTTGGTCTTGGGTATATATTTATCGATCAAATGGGTCATTTTACTAGTTATGATATTCAGCGTAGTGTCTGCGTTCTTGTACCTTAATAAGTCAGGCCAGTTGATACCCCTCATCTCTTCCCTCATCCCATTGTAATTTCCCTTGTAATATTTGCACCTTGGCCTGGCCTTATCTTGAACTAGGTAACAGTTAAATCTGAATGACAACACTGTATGGTGACTGGTGCCAACTGGGGCAAGGTGTTCCAGTTTGGCCACCATACCCTCCTCGTTTGTTATGATGAGGTCAAGTGGCTTGGGTGTTTGCTCCCCTCTGTAATGTGTCGGGTCTCTCACATGTTGGAACAGAAAATTATCTCTCAGAGTTTCTACAAAAAGAGTAGCAGGATTATTCAAGTCATTCGGGGTGGACTCGTTTCTCCAGTCGATGTCGCCATAGTTAAAGTCCCCCATGATAAGGAGGTGGCTGGGGTTGAGCATCGCCGCATTGTTTATTAAGGTTCTTAAGTTCCTTTGATTTAGTGGGCCACAGTTTGGGGATCTGTAGATACACCCGACGATAAGTAAGTCCCCTCCCTTTAATTTAATTTTACACCACTTGCTGTGGAAGATAATTTTCTTCTTCCATCAGTTTTTTAAATTCAACTAAAAACTTTGCTGCCCCTTCTTTATCAGCTTCACCATGCCTTAAGATGTCACTTCTTTTCTTAAATTTTTCGAACCAGCCTTTGCTAGTCCGAAAATCTTCAAATTCTGTTCCTGAAGAACCAGGTTGATCTGCCTTTAAATGTTCATAAATCTCCCTGGCTCTAAATCACCAGAAACTGAATCACCTTTCATCCCTAATCCAGATGATAAGTAAACCTCTACGATTAGGGATCTACTTTTAAACACTCTTGTCTCTCACTTCCTTAAATTTGTCTTTTTGTGCAAGAATTGTCGACACAGTTGATGCCGACATGCCATATTCTTTGCATAGTGCATTTGTTCTAATGCCTTGTTCGTGTTTTCTTGCTTTGGTTTGGATTAAATCGCTTTTCTTGATCTCTTAGGCCCCATGCTGGATTCAAACAATGTCAACACGTGATCTTTTAGGTATAAACTAGCTGTAAATAAAGAATATTTTCTTTAAAATAACACTGCACTGCACTATATATTGTCAATATGTAAAATATATTTCAAAATGACCAATAATTTGCTTGGAAACACAGAAAAAAAGCGTTTAGTTGAAGAGAGTCTCAAGCAAGATGTTCCCTCCAGTGAGAGACTGACGCCTGTTTGCTGTGTTAAAATGACTAAAAAATTGAATATTAAACTTTTAAAATTATTGAATAGTATAAACTTCTTGATATTTACTAAAATAGTTAGGAATTTAAGCCCTAGAACCGATTAATTTATTGGCAGACTGATACTAAAGTTGTGCTGTAATGTAGTGTTAGGTATTCTGGGTAATAAGTTCTATATACAGGAGAGAACACAAACACCTGTATAGTTTTGTAGGTTCGGTTTACTGGATAAGAGTATGTACACAGAGGTGGATAGCACTGCTCCCTAGCTAAGGTCCTGGTCAACTACCATAGACGACGTATGGCAAGTGATACATTAGCAGCTTCCATACGTCGCCAGGCACATTAATTAAGCGTGTGGGATATGGTAATAACATTGCCACACGCTGCTGGCTAGGCTGAATAAATATAAATGGAGCACATACATAATATACATACATAATACATACATAATACATAATCCAGCATACATAATATACATACACCTCCCTCCCCCCTATACGCTCATAGCAAAGTCTTGAGCGGACCTTTTCTTCTGGATCCGTTCTGAGCGTCGAGGGGCTTCATCACTGGGAAGGGTATGGGACTCAACACTGGTGGCGGGGCCAGCAGAAGGCATTGTTACGGGGCGGAGAAAACGGCGGTTCCTCCACCACACACGACCACTGGGTAACCGCACCTGGTAGTCCCGTGACCTACCGAGACCCATGACTACGCCTACTTTGTCCCAACGTAGGGAGGTCGGGTCCTGAACACGGACTTGGGTGCCGACACTCAACCTGGGAAGAGAACGGGCGTGGTCGTTGTAGCGGGCGACGACGTCCTGAACACGTTCGGCGGCTCGGCGATCACAATCCTCTGTGTTGGCCTGCCACTCCTTGGAGAAGGATTGAGGGTGAGCAAGGACACAAGAACGAAGGGGCGTCCATACAAAACCTGGGCAGGGGAGCGTCCGGTGTAGTTAGGTGTGTTGCGGAGTTCAAGAAGACCCCGGTCGAAGGCCTCGCAGTCAATGTTCCCAGAAGGGGCCACCTTAAGGATGAGGTGCTTCAGGGATTTGACAGCAGCCTCAGCGTGGCCGTTGGACTGCGGGTAATGGGGCGATGACAACACATGCCGGACTCCCCATCGGTCGAGGAACACAGCAAAGTCCCGGCTTGTGAACTGAGGCCCTCCGTCGGTTCGCAGGCGTACAGGAACGCCCACGTCACGGAAGTAGTGGCGGAACTTGCT